CCTTAACGATCCAAGAGTGTGGCACACTGTCAACGGCATTTCAAATACCTTAGTTCGGACAGACATGCCAATATTATTATTATTATTATTATTATTGTTGTTGTTGTTGCTAAAGCGGTAACACAAGGGGAAGTAGAAAAACTATGCGTAGCTGACCACTTATAGCGGGAAAAGGATGATTACCGCCCCCTGTGGAATGAGGTTGATATAATAGAAAGAGAACATCACTGGAAAATACGAAAACTTAAGGAATCATCACATATGCTATGCCAGAAAAATCTCCTGAGCTGACCAAGCATAGTAATGAATATAATATGGGAACCAGTAATAAGAAATGATACAGAAAAGCAATGAATAACAATTAAAATTGCAATATAAGCTCTGGTAAAAATTGCAATAATAATAACAGAAAAAAATGCAATATGAGCACTAGTAAAAAAAAATGATTGTTTAGACATTAGTTTTATAAGTCCCAAAAATTCATACACATAAGGACACATGACCCTGTGGATACAGACGTTGGTTAGATTCAGTGACTAGACCCAAATAGTTGTGAGTTCAATACCAGGCCACAGCAACTTGGTGAGTTAAAGGGAAATAACTGAGACTTCCTGAAGAAAGATGGCATCTGGAACTAGAACAATCTACCCTGGTGGACGAAATAAAAGGTTCGGTTCGAAATTCCAATCACCTGAAGAAGGCTGAAGCCTACAACGACCGAAACCTTGTGAATATAGCAATGAAGATTGAGGATAACAGTCCAAATAATGTAAGTCATTATTATAGCTGTTTATTTTTATTCATTTATTTTATTGTTTTCATCCCGTATTTTTTTTCAGTTTTTATTCGTTTTTTTTTTCATTTTGTTTTTATTATGCATCGTTCTATTTTTCTTTTCATGGTTTTATCATTCTTTATGTGCATTTTAACAAATAAGGGCCAAGTCATACCTGACGTAGCGACAGATCACGTGTCCCGTAAGCCATTAGGGGGTGTCGGGGGAACTGCATGTACCGCAGCCGTAGCAGCAGTGATGTGTCTTGGGTAAGATAGCCTTCACCAAGGCTATTCGCGCGTAAGTGAATGTAACGAACACGACTGGGATTCGAACTCGCTTCTCCTATTTCTCATTCCAAGTCTCTGTTCTTTACACCACTCAAACATCCACGACATACATACACACAGACTTCATCATCAATGAAACCCAGCCAAATAAGGTTATACTAGGTACATGCATCACATCCGAGTGCTTGCAATATGGTGATATAGTTCGATAAAACAACAACAATATATTATTATTATTATTTATTATTTTTTTTTTTTTTATTATTATTATTATATACTTTGATTTCTGGTGTGTACTCACTTCTTTCTGGGTTCCGACTAGAGATCTAAGGTCAGAAATGGCATCATGATATTATCATTTGAAAAAAGAAAAAAATCGCATATATTTTACAAGGATAAAGCCCTTCGTAAGGTGTGGGCAGTACTTGTGGGAATAATTTGTTGTATTTTATTTTATATTATATATTTTATTTATTTATTTATTTTATTTATTTCTTTTTGATTTCTGGTGTATTCTCATTTATTTCCGGCTCCCGACTAGAGACCTAAGTTTAGAAATGTCATCATGCCATTTTTCACTGAGCAAAAAACACACACGCATATTTTACATAGATAAAGCCCTTCATAAGATGTGGGCTGTATTTGTAAGAACAATTTTTTGTATTTATTCATTCTCTTTGAGTTTATACATATATATATATATATATATATATATATATAAGCAGGCCACTCGTATTCGAGGATACCCGTCTGTTAGCGCGGCTAGACACTCCCTATTGCAGACGCTATCTCAGGCACATCTGTGTTTGTTCAACACCTACAGGGCCCACCTGTGGTTTATACTGCAACTATGCTGAGCAGACCTTACTTACAGTTTCTGGAAGAGAGCGTGTTATCTAGCGTGATCAATAATCTGAACGAGGCCGGCACACACAAACCCTCAGTCACGGTGGCTTATGACCTCGTGCCAGCACAGCTATCGACGGACCCCAGTGTTTCCTCTCTCTCTCTCTCTCTCTCTCTCTCTCTCTCTCTATATATATATATATATATATATATATATATATATATATATATATATATGTATGTATGTATATATATATTTCGTCTCTCTATAAAATATACATACACATACACAGACACACACACATATATATATATATATATATATATATATATATATATATATAAAAAACTTAAACACTAATATTCCATGGTCATAATTTATTCCATTGGAATCGTAAATACGATCCAAATCATCAGGTTTTGAATTTGTAGGTCTGATGATTTGGATCGTACTTATTGATTCCAATGGAATAAATTATGACCATGGAATATTAGTGTTTAAACTTTTTTATTATATCCTTACTCTGTCCTAGACATTGAGTTCTACCTGGATCCTTCCTGGAAAATTTTTTTCTGAAAATATACATGTATGGAAATTTTTTTAGATATATATTTTTCATATGTATGTATATTTTCCACTAATAATATCTATCTATATATATATATATATATATATATATATATATATATATATATAATTATATTGCAATAGGAGGCCCAAAAATAAAAAAAGAGGGGGCCGCCTACAAAAGTATTAAAACCTAAAAAGTGCTCGATGCAAGCTATATATATATATATATATATGTGTGTGTGTGTGTGTGTGTGTGTGTGTGTTTGTATGTGTGCGTGTATGCTCAAGTGTAATGATCGTATTGACTGACTTTTCTCTCTGTTTATTATTATTATTATTATTATTATTATTATTATTATTATTATTATTAGGTACTTTTTGACTGTACTTTTGTTACTGATATTTTATTGGTGAAAGCAAATCCTGCTATTCTGGCATCAGCCTGCAGTATTGGAGAAGTGAAATAAACTTAAATAGTACCCGACCATTCCATCAAAAGTGCATTTTTTAAGGTTGGTGATCGGATCTCTCAGGGTGTGCGCCTTTCATGGCGCTTATGAGCGCAGAAAATAGAATCAAAGTGTATGGATAAACTCTGACTGAGTTTGTTACGGTCACCTTCGAAGAAATACTCTTGGGAATCATAAACTATATGCCAAAATTTGGCAGCCACCCTCTGGGTTTTGAAGAATCACCTAAAGATTAGTAACGATAGTTGCGTACGTTTTTCAGAACTAATTCACTAACACACTTCGAACCAGAAAAGCTTTCTCTTACAGGAGAATGTATCATATATTCAATAATAATAACAAAATTAATCCATTACTGTATAAAGTTTCCTTAATATTTTAACCATTTTTGCATAATCTAACTTATTGGCTAATGGTATCTTTAAGGCTGGTGGGTTTAGGTCCCTTAAATTTTAGGTAGTCACATGCACTAATAGATTAAATAGTTTCAACATCCTAGATTCTTCTTTTATGTGACGTGTTCTTTCAGGATGTAGGCGATTATGTCCCTCCACATCTTCTTGTCCCATGTAGTTTTATCTTTTTGTTATTTCTCCCAAACCCGGTTCTACCATCCATTTATTCAAGTATATTACGCGCTGCTTTCTTCAGTGCCTCTTTTTCTCAATCTGTCCTGTGAGTTTCAGATTTTCCAAGCCCTCCTTTCTCATTACGTGGATCGGAAATTTCAACTGCCTCTTCCTGATGTTAAATATAAGTTTCCTTATTTTTGTTTCCATTTTCTCCCAAACCTCGTCATTGCTCACATGTTTGGCACATGGTATTCTCAGCATCCTTCTGTAGAACTACACTTCTGTTGCTTCAAATCTCTTCTTCATCTTTGAGCAGAATTTTTAAACCGCGGTCATGTGTCACATCTGGTAGCGACGTAGGCCCACTGAAAAATACACCTACCTTAGTAGGAGTTAATGTAGATTTGAAGCTTACTAATTCTTAACTTCAAAGGATGGCCCTAAACTTTTGGCCGATAGTACATGCTTCCTCCTCTCCTATGCTATTGTTAAAGTAACAGGTCTGATTGGGATTTCTAGCCTTGATTGCTAACCAGTCTAACAGAAAGAAAACTCTGAATTCGATACCGGTTGGTCGTAAGGCTGGCAACTCAAATCTAAAACAATACGCAGGGTGAACTGGGATCTTTAAACATGCATGTGCCCCAGTCGAGGAGGAGGAAAAATTAGAATTCAAAACCTTGTAGGTGTAGGGCTAACAACTTCAGCACCTAAAAAGCACAGTAGAAAACAACTACAGTAGTGAGGCTATAGCTCTATTCACCATATAGGAATGGTACTAAAGGAAATGTGAATATGTCCCTTATAACATGGCCTAAATGTGATCGACCATTAATTAATAATTGTGATGTAGACGAGAACCCGACAACTGTTCTGCTCTCCCACCCCAGGAATCGAACTCACAATTACTATATTATCAAATCTGTGAACCAAGGTTTTAATCCACGATCCTCTAGAAGATTAAGCTAATTCTAACATTGCATCACAGTGACTTCGTGGAAACAGGACGAGCAATAGAGCAAGTATTAAATAAAACCAGAAGAAATATCCCTAGACATCGACAACGAAACGAGATCAGTTAATACTCGTAAATTAAATAAAAGGTTCAGGATGAAATTTCTTGTAGGTTACCAGATCGATATACACCTGATGAAGGCCGGAGGACACTATGGTCGAAACGTTCTGATAATAAAAACAAAGGTAAGTCCAAAAGGTAAATAATGATAACATCTTACTACAGAAATTCAGACACCAAAGATTCTCTAAAGTACCGATTCTATAATGTACCAATTTTAAATGCAAGTAGAAAAATCTTAATTTTTTTTTTTTTTTTAATATGCAATTTTTTCGGTTACTCTAAAACTATGCAGAAAATTATTTCACACTTAGTAAACATGAGAACAATTAAGTCCCAAAAATGTCTGATCTTTTTTTAGTTTTGAAAATGGTTCTTGAAATGCAAATTAACTCTCTTACCTTAGATTAAGTTTTTTGGGGATGACAAAATCTTTTCCTTCTTTTTCTTCGTTCTTTGGAATTGTTTCTCTCGAAAGAGATACTACAGAAAGACTCGCAATGCTGAGCGTTGGTGTTTGTCTAAAAACTTCTTCTTCCACAAAGTCAATTTTCAAAAAATGTTCAGAATCGAGCTGAGTATCCAGTATTGGATCATCTTCGGAACCAGAGTGCAAATAATTAGAGTTCTTAAATTCTGCAGACTCGGCATCCATGGACAATGTTTTTTCCTTAGAGTTGCAGCTTACAGAGGGGGATACAGTTGGGACGCTATCTAATTCTTTGGTCAAGGTCATGATGAAACAGTTTGACTCCTTCTAAGGAATGCCTTTCAAAATCGAAAAGAAAATTTCTTCAGCTGATGTAGAAGAAAAAATACTTCGCGAAGTGAAGGTTTCTTTCTTTTTTTTTTTTTTTTTTTTTTTTTTTCTTTTTTTTTCTTTTTTCTTGCCTTCTTTCGTCTATCTTTCTTTCTTTTGACTGATAATGTTATTGAATTCAAAATAGAATCTATATCTACCTTGAAAGAGATAAAAAAAAAATATAATTTGTCTATATTTTTTTTTCAAAATGGTGTATACAGCTTACTCTTTTCGTGGGAAATAAATTTGAGAGGTTGTTGAATTTATTTTTTGTACTTCACACACACTCCCGCATGCACACACACACATAAGCACAACGATCCACTTGAAGGAAACACGCTATTTATTAAACAAATTAAAGAAATATATATATATATATATATATATATATATATATATATATATATATATATTCTTTCTACATTTCTGTCATTTCGTCAGTTGCAACAGAAAGAAAGAATAAAAATGTCTTTTCTTCCATACCAAATTATAGTAACAACCTGTTGGCGGCTATTTTATTCTTTTGACTGATGGTTTAAACACACAGGGCTATCAGGGTTCTGTGTTTGGGTGACGGGAAGGCGTATTTGTGGAAGTCGCTAATGAGACTGCTGGGGTATTATTTAGCGAATTGCAGCAATGGAAGTGGCGGGTAACAGGCTCCTGATAGAACTGAGGCAGCAACGATTTTTTTTAATATTCGGGTATATATATATATATTCATTTTGAATCGATGAAGTTCTCCATATTAAATGCTTGTAAATAACAAGAAATTCACCTAAAGATAAAAAGAGCAATGCATTAAAATTTATGATAATAACAGAAGTAATGAAATAAATTTAATAATATATATAAACGAGCAAATCAGTGAATGTAGAGATCGATTGAAAGAAAATTCTGATCGTATTATTGAGATATCGAAGAAAAATTCGTGGAGCGTTAGAGTCTGAGAAAGAGAATTCGATTTAATTTATTCTAGCGTAACGAAAACTCTTGTCGGTGATCGAGTGAACATTTACAACGTTCTCACTGTTTTTGTGAAAACCAATCTTGCTAGTCACGCCATCACCGGCAGATGTGTAGTGCGTGAAAGAACAAAAGTATGGGTGACGTAATAGAAATAAAAATGAAAATTGTGCAAAGGATGAGAAAAGAGAAAGAAAGAAAGAAAGAAAGAAAGAAAGAAAAGACGTGCAAAAATGAAAACAGGAAGAAGTAAAAATAAAGATAAAAATAGACAAAGAATAAAAGGAAGAAAATGCAAAAAGAAAAAACTGTAAGAAAGAAAGAAAGAAAGAAAGAAAGAAAAATGCAAAAACAAAAACTGAAATGGCGAAACAAAAGACGGACAGAAACAGGAAGACAAAATGACAGATGAAAGAAAGGACGAAAGAAAATGCAAATAGGAAAAACGGAAAGAAAGAAAAAAGACTGAAAGAAAGAAAGAAAGAAAGAAAGAAAGAAAGAAAGAAAGAAAGAAAATGCAAAAAAGAAAACTGGAAAAAAAAGACAGGCAAAATTGTAAACAGAGAGAAAAAGTGAAAGCTGAGAGGAAGAGATGGAAAGAAAAAAGAAAGAAAGAAAATGAAAAAGGAAAATGGAAAGAAAGAAAGAAAAAAAGAAAAAAAGACAAAGAAAGAAAGAAAATGCAAAAATGAAAACAGGAAAGAAAATGTGCAAAAATAAAAATAGACAGCGAAAGAAAGATAAAAAAAAAAATGACAAAAAAAGAAAGACAGACAGACAATGCAAGAAGGAAGCGGAAGAAAAAGTGCAAAAATAAAAATAAACAAAGGATCAAAGAATGAAAAATAAAAAATAAAACGAACAAATGATGCAAAAGAAATGAAGAACAAAATAAAATGCAATCATCCTGACGAAGGCAACTAATATTTTAACGAAAACTTCTCAAAATCAATAAAAAAAATAATGTAAAAAAAATCTTACATTTTGAGATTTATTCCGACTTCAGATCGGACGAAAATCAAGCAAATTTGCAGATCAAATAGCACTGCTTGTCATACGGTTTTGGGTCGCCTAGACAATCAGGGTAACCTTCATCTATTGAGAATGTCCTTTACCTATTCCTCACATTAAAATAAAACACCTGCCGATGGAAATATACACGTCGTCGCTTCTTGGCTGGATGCACGTGTGCCAACAT